CTGCGAAAGTTTCAATTCAAGTTGTGCAACATTTTCCAAGAACTTTATTATAGGCTTGTCGCCACTATACATTTATCTTCTCTAACTATAAACTTTCACCCTTTGGCAACAGTTGGGTTTTATTTGACAAACTTATGTTTTTTGGGGTCTTTAGTCTGTTACAGTTTGTTGGATTCAAACAAAGCACAGACACCAGTCTGGTGGTGGTGGTGAACTCTTGTTCTGCTGAACCACAGCCCTGAAGGTTTTTTTTTTACATTAGTTTCTATTTCAGGACCAACAGTGAAGCAAATACGTAAAATTATAAGGGCGTACTTATAGGACTGAAACCAAGGAACGTCTGACACAAGGATTCTTGTGGTCTGTCCAGCCATTCTGCTGAAGCTGATGTCCTGGCATCACTCAAGAAATGGGAGATAACATCCCCAGATCAACAAGCCACTAGTAACCCATTGAGTACGATGAGTCATACAGTATGGGACCTAAACTAGGCCAATCAGTCCATATAGGCAGTTTGGTCACTAGAAACTAATTTATCCAATGATTTGGGTGTATTGTGGTTTTGGATTGAAGGCATTATTTTAAAACATTATTATTTTTTGTGTTCTGTTTACCAATGGAACGATGCATCCTACAGCAACAATACTGTTTTAAAACAATGCCGTAATTATTAGTCAATAACATTTTTGTCAACAATTATTAATTCAATAAAGCTGAATAGCATCGTAGGCTGTCCTACCTTAGATTGAATATGAACGTTGTACAGTACTTTTTAAATTTAGCTTTATTTCATTGTGTAGCATTTTCACCTGTAAAAGTGTAAGATAGCAATTTGCAATGTAGATCTAAATCTGTAATAACTATTGATTAACCAAATACAGTGATTAATATTTTATTAATGTAACTCTGGTTATTCAATTGGACACAAAAGTGAAACAGTTTGATTTAATGGATCACTATGGCATTTTTTGCCACTTTAGGAATATAGTTCCCTCATAAAACTTATTTCCTTTATTGCTCCTAGACTGTATCTCTGTCCAAACTAAAGCTTATACAAAAATCAACCACAAAAACCATACAGTACCTGCATATGAAAAGCACATTAAGTTACGAAATTGGCATTGCCATCATAAACAGGCAAAAGTTATATACAGTATTAAAGTTTAATTTACTTTTTCTACGGGCAAATCTAATCTGTTTCCCATTTCTTTCTCTTGGCTTTTAACCAGATAATCCATATGGAAAAAGTACTGACTCCAGTAACAGGGAATAGTTGTCTCTTCTGCACAGACATAATAATATATACAGTGGAAAACGTGGGATTTCAATTCCAGTCCTCAAACTTACCTGTATTTTATACAAAGTTATACTTTTGGTTCTGTGTTTTTTTAGTAAAAAAAAAACAACTTAGCATTCATAAGGTATAAAATTGGTATAATGCCTCTATTGGTATAAACCCCGCCACAGTATAGTTACACAAGAAGCTAAGTTGCATAACGTCGTCGAGCTGGCTTGCGTAAGAACAGTTATGAAACAATTTTTGCCACTATAGAGAAATAACCACTATATACCATTAAGGTGGTGTTTTCTTAAGCTGTAGTAACATTATGTTTTGCCTTCTAAATTGTACTTTTCATTTGGTAATGCACACATTTAAGAAAATAAGATTCTAACTAAAATATTACACATTATTTTACCCAGTTTAACCATTTTTAGTGAAAATTCACATTATGACAGTTATTATTCTAGTTTGCTTATCCTCCTATTCAGAAAACTAAAGGATCTGTAACCCCCCACCCTTAGAAAAAGGGGTGTCCATTGACAGGAAAAAGAACTGGATTTTTCACCCTTTAATAGAGACAACTACAAGATCACTTTATTGGCCATATACAATTTCTTGCATTAGGAATTTGTCTTTTCACACACCCCAACTTGCTCTCCATGAGACACACAGACAGGTAGAGAAGCTTGGGGTCAGAGCACAGGGTCCGCCATTTACACAGCACCCCTGGAGCAGTTGGGGTTAAGGGCCTTGCTCAGGGGCCCAACGGAGTAGGATTCCTCTGCCACAGGATTTGAACAGGCAACCTTCCAGCCACAGGCGCAGATTCTTAGCCACAGAGCCACCACTCCGCCCTAAATGACACTGCTCCAGGTGAGGCGTGAACTCACAAACTCGGCATGACTCCCCTGTGCACTGCTGTATAAGTACTGCGTGCTGACCGATTGCGCCACTAGAGCTGGATCAAGAATTCAAAATCTTCAAAGGCACAGATGACCCACTGCACTTCTTCAGAACCAGTAGATGTGTAAAAACAAGCCAAAAGATGTGCATTTAATACTGAGAAAAGAAGTACATCAAGGGTTGTGTCTAAAACAAGAGTCCAGCCATGCTGTTGGAGCCAATATTCAGGCTTTTTCCAAGAGGGGGCAGGATGGGATCCTTGGATTAATGAGCTACTGTCAGTCATGCACGCTAACTGATCCAAATGTCCTGCTCTCATTAGTAAGCTTTCTTACTGTTTGTTCCTATAATTTCTCATTCCAAAAGTGCTTTACATTCAGGAGGGCTCCCTCTTCATCTGCCTCTGAGGGTGAGTAGTGGGTGAGCTGAGTGGGGCCCAGCAGCCACTTTTTCCAGGAACCCCAGTACACAGCAGACCAGGTGATTCAATTCATTAATTGCAATTTAATTCATTAGGTGCAATTTAAGCTGGATACAGGGGTTGACACCCCTGTTCTACTGGACAGTTGCCATGGGATCTTCAACAAGTATCAACCTGACTTTCCTGAGGTCTCTCAACCCAGCACTGACCAGCCATAGCCTTGCTTAGCTTCCGAGATCTGATAAGATCAGGGTACAAGGTGGTAATGCTAATATTGAAGGTCTTATACATATTGTACCTGGTAAACAGCACTACATTTCATTCTCAGAGTCGGTTTTTGTTTTGCTCGACCCCAGCGAGTGCTCACTAGCAGCAAGCACTCATACGGTATATATATAAAATAACATAAGGTTCATGTCACCCGAAGAATGAATCAGACTTAACCTCTGTAGCACTTTAATGTACTGCACACAGAAAAGATATCCTAACATTCCTAACCAAGGCAGAGTAATTTAAGACAGGAGACTATATTGACTGCTGTAGGCATCTCAAACAGGGCTAGCAGGTTACGGAATATTTAGGCCTAAAATTTTTATCCAACACTCAGGATCTCAATAATGGGTTAGAAAAGGGAGTGTGCAGCTTCAGCTTCACGATAACATTGCACAGCAACAACTAGTAACAAGCCACAGATGAGGTAAGGAATGCTAACCTGCCAATAAGGATTATTTTGACTTGGTTTATTATGCCACAGGATCACCACACAACCTCAGGGACTCTAACTAGGCTCCCTAGACCTCAGGAGTAAGGAGGAACATTAAAAAGCCTTGGAAAGGTAAACTCAAGCTTTGTAAGACTAGAAAATAAATGTAAGAACAAGATCCAAATATCAACCTATTTGTAACAGCAAATCTGAAGTGTAAACATAATATTCTTATTACTGTACATGTAAATTATCTTTCATTTTTTTTAGTATTTTCCTCCAATGAAATAATCATATAAAAAAGGGACATTTGCATACATTGTATTATTATATGTTACATAATGTGTATTCTATAGAATTATTTATTTTAATTCTTGACTTGAAGACTTTAATATCCCATGCTGCATAATACTTAAGAACTTATATAAACCCAGGCTTTTAAATTCAGTAAGAACACAGCTGTGACTGTACCATATTAAAAATATAATGACAGGGGTGCTCTACCATCTTTTAAATTCGAACACCCAGCCATTGTTAACTTGACTTAGTGCTTTAGCTCCTGCCCTTTGGAACAGGTGACTGCGTGGACAGAGGTAGTCTGAGATGTGCTTCACCATGCTACTGTATCTTGCTCTTCTTGCACTGTCAGCACAGAAGCAAGCAGCACATTCCTGGTGGCAAGGAGAGACCGGGTGACACACCTGTCTCACAACACCTGGCATCAGACGCCCAGCCAGCAGCAGGGATAACTGACACATGGTGAAATTAGGATTCCTCACATTCTACACTACAAGGGTACATATTCAAAGGATAAAAATAATGAAAAATAGTTTAATAAGATACACAGTACATCTCACTCCCCCTGGAAGAAAACAGATAGTTAAATCCTAATTAGCTGATGAAAAGCTCACAAAATTCCCAGTCCTGTTTGCAAAAAAGTGAAAATCAGAAGCATGAAAAATTTTAATTCTGAAGTGTCTCCTTTTTGAGCGATATTTGTGAAACCCTATAAACAATATTTCGGTGAAATCTCTTACATCTTATATGTACATACAGTATAAGGCATATGTTCGGCTATAGTGAAAAAGAAAGTGATTCAGCTGCAAAGCAAGTCAAATAAAAAAAACAGCAAGCGAGAACTGGGAAAAGTCAGGCATAATAATAATAATAATAATAATAATAATAATTGCTTACACTTATATAGCGCTTTTCTGGACACTCCACTCAAAGCGCTTTACAGGTAATGGGG